GGAACACCGTCATCCTCAAAACCGCTGAGCAGACCCCTCTTTCTGCCCTTTACGTAGGACAGCTCGTCGTCGAGGCTGGCTTCCCCCCAGGTGTCATCAACATCATCTCGGGCATTGGCCGTATCGCCGGTGCTGCTATCGCCTCCCACATGGACATTGACAAGGTTGCCTTCACCGGCTCCACCATTGTCGGCCGCCAGATCCTGCAGGCCGCTGCCAAGAGCAACCTGAAGAAGGTCACCCTCGAGTTGGGCGGCAAGAGCCCCAACATCGTCTTCAATGACGCAGATATCGAAAACGCCATCTCCTGGGTCAATTTCGGTATCTACTTCAACCATGGCCAGTGCTGCTGTGCCGGTAGCCGTATCCTGGTCGAGGAGGGTATCTACGACAAGTTCCTCGAGCGCTTCAAGGCCCGTGCTCTGCAGAACAAGGTCGGCGACCCGTTCCACGGCGACACCTTCCAGGGTCCCCAAATCTCCCAGATCCAGTTCGACCGTATCATGGGCTACATTGAGGAAGGAAAGGCCGCCGGTGCCAAGGTCGAGATTGGTGGTGAGCGTCTAGGTAACCAGGGCTACTACATCCAGCCAACCATCTTCACCAATGTCACCGAGGACATGAAGATTGTCAAGGAGGAGATCTTCGGACCCGTCTGCTCCGTGCAGAAGTTCAAGGATGAAGCAGAGGCTATCGAGATCGCTAACAACACTTCATATGGTTAGTGTTTTTTGTTGCCTCTTTCCTCTCCATTATAGTATTGTGGAAATATGTGATTGACTAGCTGGTCTGTTCAGGTCTTGCCGCTGCCGTCCACACCACGAACCTCAACACTGCCATCCGTGTCTCCAACGAACTGAAGGCTGGGTGAGTTTTCATTCTTCATATTTAGTTTTTATACAAAATCTAACTCCTGTCAGCACCGTCTGGGTCAACAACTACAACATGATCTCTTACCAAGCTCCTTTCGGCGGCTTCAAGGAGAGCGGTCTCGGCCGTGAGTTGGGAGGTAAGCCTTGTCCAAGTTTATTTTTTTATTCTTCAGTCTCCGTTTTTATTTCCCCTCTCCTTTCCCCTCTCCCAAACGAGTCTCATCTCACTGATATGTTTGTCGCTAGAATACGCACTCGACAACTATACCCAAGTGAAATCCGTCCGCATTCGCCTGGGTGACGCCCTTTTCGGTTAATATGAAATGAGTATGAATATGAATATGAAGAAAATTGAGCGGGGTAGTTATTTGAGCTGACGAATTTTTTTTTTTCAGCTTTTTTCTTTCACGCCTGTTTTAGCTTAAGTTAGTTAGTTAATTTGATTGATGCCTGATGTATTTGTTTTAGCTCGCTAGTACGGAGTAGCTAGCCTCGGCGACTTGTTATTCTCGCGTCGATTCGAGGGTTGACTACGTAGTACTCTGTACAGCCTTTTCTTTTTGCCCTTGACGGTTCACATTTCCTCTCATGTCTGCTTGGGAAAATTGTCCACCTATCTAACGTAGGAACCGAGTTGCCTGCTTAACTATCTTTCCGTATGAACCAAACCATGCACAGCTTAGCTACTGGAGAATGTGAAAGACTCATGACAAGTTTGTGAAACCCGTATATTGTGGATATATGTCCGCTCACTGAGTGCCTAAGATCTGGCTGGTTCCAACACTACACTTGACTTACCCCTCAACCGTTTATACATATAACAAAAGTGGGGGAGATATATGAGAGGAAAGGAAAAAAAAAATTAAACAAAAATAAACAAATAAAAGTACAAATAAAAATAAAAAGTAAAAGTGGTTGGACGTGGAAACTCGAACGTCCCCTTTTCAGTTGGCATGTACGGTTCAAGGTTTGCTTTATTGCAAGAGTGAGGTAATTGGGCTAGTTGATGGAATTTTGAATTGATATGAGATAAGTTTTATATATCTAACCTTAAGGTATAGTAGTAGCTATCTTGACATGGAAAAGTAAATTGTTAGATACGTGTAACTCTGCGTGCCTGTTCTGATTCACATGGATGGGATAGGTACATGTGTATAGGGCGAAGGGGATATATACATGTAGGGAGCATGGGGAATGAAAGATTATAGCAGTTGTTTCGCCAGTAGCAAGTTCATGTGCACTATATATATATCTATGAGTGTCATACCAATAGGAAGACGAAGGAAGAGAGCAATACGCAAACGATGGTCTGTCAGTGTGAAGTTGTAAGCTCCTCTCAAACATTCTTCACACATCCTTGTATGTCGTTTTTCACTATTTCTAGAGCATATGTAGGTAGGTATGTGGATAGATAGATGGATGGATGGATGGATGGATGAAGAAGATACAAGGATATCATATCCAACCGGGAGCACAAGTCCAAAAGCACGCTGTGCAGCGGATGAATGAAACTGGCTTGTATATATATACAGCGCAAAACAGCGCGAGAAAGGGGATGATGGGGATACTCGAAGCTGATATGAGACAAAAATAGAAATAGAAAAAGGCATCACCTCATTAAGAAGTTGGACAAAATGGGAAAAGAAACAAGGGGGAAAAACCAAATTAGAAAAGAGGAGAAAAATGTAACAAGAACATCTATAAGAAATACTCGCTCCTCCCGGGCCTCATATTTGGCACATGTCTCATATCATCCGGCACCTCCGAAAATAGCTTGAATGTCGGTTTCAAGTCCTCGCCTATCTCGCACACGGATGCCATATTCCCGCATCGGTAGCAGTAATTCGGCGCGCTCCATACAGTGACCACGTTCTGCTTCTGGAAGTGATATTTGTAGCCCTCATTCACGAGCTGGTGTGCGCGCGCTATCAGGGTCAGGTCATTTACTTGGCAGAACTCTTCGGCTACTTTGTCGCCAAATAACCAGCCTAGAAAATTGGAAAAATTGGGTATTTGTGTTAGTCAGTTGTTCAATCTGACGGCGCACGCATCTTTCCAAAGGTTAGGATAGCAACATACCAGCTCCTCTCGGGCTCACGGCCCACGTCTCTACATCGTCCGGGTCCGACCAGACGAGGTCGCAGAAGGCCCCTTCATGTGGAATCTCTTGAGCTCGAGCAACCACCCGCACCTGGTCTAGTGTCCGAATCTCTGGGCTCAGGCCACCATGTACGCAGAGTACTTTCCCGTCCACTATTGCCCCAAGAGTCATAAAGTCAAACACCTGACAGCACGCTTTCCACACGGAGGCGTTGCCATATTTCTGAAAACATTCTTCGTAAAATCCGTATACCTGTGTGATCTGTCGGGATTCATGGTTGCCCCGGACAAGCGTAATTTTTTCTGGGTATCTAATCGAAAGGGGTACCGTTAGTGCCTGCGACATAAAGGGGTGAGGGTAGGAGAAGACAGCAAGTAAAATGAGGAAACGTTAAGGGAATACAGACTTAGCCTTTAAACAGAGCAATAATGTCAATGTCTCTAAACTAAAATATCCTCTATCCACATAGTCTCCCAAAAATATAAAATTCCCGCTGGGCACGCCGCTCAATTGTGATGTGTCCTCCGACTTCTCATCGGCAGCAGAAGAAGCGACATTTTCATCTGCGTCGCTAGTATTCGGCCCGTCGACATTTTGCCTAATCTTCCTTCTTAATTTCGGATCTGTGATGGAGGAAGGTGGCTCGATGTCATCTGACGTGATAATAGTTGGTGGGGCTGTTGGCGATTCGACATTGCTGTCATTCGGCATACCACCCGCAACACGGAACAGTTCGAGGAGGTCGTAGAATTGGCCGTGGATGTCGCCGCATATTGTTACTGGGGCGGATACCGGCTGGATGTTTGACTCTGTAGATAGAAGAGGCTTTAGCAGCAATTCCGCCATGAGCTTGAACTTTTCTTTCAACGCAGAATAGAACAACTCGGGGATATGAACCTTCCATCATGAATTCCTTGACAATCTCACATAGCTGCTTCATATGATGTTCTGAGAGATATTTACAATCTTTCGCAGCTTCAAGCCACTCGTCTGGACCCGCGTTTCTCTTCAACCTGGCCGGTCCCGGCTGGGGGACGTTATGTACCATCCCGGAATTAGATATCGCTTTATTTAAAATCAAAGAGATATGTGATATTTCGTGATTTGGCGGAGTGTAGTTTCAATTCGTGTATGAGAGGGAGTGAAAGTCAGGAGTGGGAGTCAAAAGAGTCTAATCAGCTCAGGTAATAATCGTTCGTGGAGTGGTGCGCCCAAAAGAAACACCAAGGAAGGGCAGTCAGTATATCATAGAGCGTATCCGCAAATAGTTAGTTATGAGTCTGCGTCTAGCGATGTGAGAGAGTCGGGCCATATGCCATGGATGCCAAATAATCACGGGAAGATGAAGCGAGTTTCGTGATGCTGGGTTGGTAAACTTACGTCACTGTGATACAATGTAGAACCGGGATTTGGCGCGCTGGCAGCCCACTAGGGCGTAATCAAAATACGTAGATCCGCAATATGTATTTCCAGATCACTTTGCAGAGGCAGATATTTTATATTATTTTATATACTGTGCATATTTGGTACAGATAATCTGTGTGATATAATATAGTACATTGTTCAAATTCTCCTCTTCACTTCCAAATCCTATCGCTTCTATGAGTTAGTTCTATCATCTTCCGCGATCTCCCTGCAGTCCGCCTTAAGAGTCCGAGGTTGTTCTTGCGCTTTATCCGCCGTTTTATACATCTATCAATAACCCCGGGGTCTCTTGCGCCAGCGCATTTCTGTCCCATACTTCTCTACTACGGCTTCATACCGGCTTCGTGACTCGTGGTCCCTTTTCTTCCGCGCTTCTTTCTCAATAATAACAGCCCGAGCCTCTTGCACAGTAGGCAGACCATACATTTTGCAGCTTGTCTCGTGCGCCTCCGTTCCCGTGCATGTGCCATGCGTGTGGTCTTGGTGTTTCGGAGCCCGTCAATTGGAATAACCATTTCTGCACCATTTGCGCAGGTGAAGCGGTGGTCGCATGTTGCTTGGTCTAGAGAGACGGAGTAGTCTCCGGAATAATGGTAGGTATACGTTCTGTAAAACCATCTCACTGGACAACAATACATGTGGCCTCGTTCAAGATACTGATAGTTTGTCTATATAAATCTGTCAATATTCTGAGAGAAGATTAATCTTTGATAGATATCAGATGTTTCTGACTGTATTCAACTGCTGTTAAACCTGTGACAGTGAGAATTCATTTTTAATTATAAGCTTATTAAGTGCTTGATAATCAATACACGGCATGGGCCACATTTGTAGGATAGTTGAAGGTTGTATTGATAGATCTATCTACAAAGAGCTTAATATAGTGGTGGGTCACGTGATCTAGGGAGATCGCTAACCGCAACAGCCGTAACGGCCAACACCCCCCCTCGAGTAGACTGACCGCCGGGACCATGAATTTCATGTTTGGTCCCATTTGGTCTGGTCCCATACATTTCTTGGCGTGAATCCCACTGGGACTGGCTATTAAAAAAACATGTAAAGTGACTATATATCAGATCTTAAAATGAGATCATGACTTGAAAAAAATGAGAAAGTGATCTCATTTAATCTCATTTAGTCTTATTCTTAACATAAAGTTACTATTTTTAGACATTTTAAGGTTTTTTTTAGACTATTTTTAATTTTTTAAAAAGTAATGCTATTATTATTATTATTATTCTTCAATTATAGATGTATGCAGTTAGAGACTATGATATCTATCTGAGAACTTTAGTTCTCAGAGTTTTTTCTATGTCTGTAAAGTTAACTATTATACATTCATTAATTTCAGATATGCAGAATCAGAAAATTCTAGCTCAGAATACAAAAACTGTTTACAAATTGCAGTGTTTTAACATCTTTTAATACTTTGAAATCATTTGACAATATCATGACAAAAGAAAAGAGAAAAAGAATACAGTCTCAAAGATAGACACATTAAATAGATAGATAGAAAGAAATTGAAAGAAAAAGATAAAGAAAAAGATAAAGTAAAGAGAGACTATAACAAAATAAATTATTAAAAGAGAGTGTATAGCTGTTTTAACAGACTATATCTGATTGATTTTCTTCTCTTCATATTCAGATAATTCTAAATTTAGTTATTTTCTTATAGCTGCTTGAGTTTCTGATAGAAAGTCTATTAAGTATTTAATTCCTGTCTTAGTTGAGAATAAGAATCTCATATTTAATTGATTTAGATTATACTTCTCTTTCAATCTGACTCTGAGA